TCAAGGCACTAAGATATATCAGACAAGTCGCGCAAGAAACTAGTGGTGAGATTGTTTATGGTCTGGGAAGACAGCCAGCGGTTCTAAGAACATTTAGTCAGAGATTAAGCAGGTCTTTTTTTTACATCTTTTAGAGGTGTTATTTTTTTGTAAAGTGGTTCTTGTTAACATTATTTTTTGCAGAGGATTCAATGATGCAGTTAATGGATTCAATGATGATGGTTGGTCTATACTGAGCTGTGATGGTGCTGAAGATGTTACTATTGCCATAAACTCAACCAAAAATTTTGGCCCCACTTCTGGCACACATCAAATGCTTGGAGGTGTTTTATGTGCAAAGGCATCTATGCTACTACAGGTAAATTTTGAACAATAGTTCACATGTTATCTTTGAATGTTCATTGCATCAGTAAATCACTGTTTTCTAAGTTATTTTGAGCACCCAGAATGTCCCGCCAGCTGTACTAGTCCGTTTCTTGAGGGAACACCGTTCCGAGTGGGCTGATTTTAATGTGGATGCCTATTTTGCTGCTGCTTTGAAATCAAACTCTTATTCTTACCCCGGAATCAGGCCTACGAGGTTCACTGGAAGCCAGATTATCATGCCACTTGGGCAAACTATAGAACATGAAGAGGTGTGTTTGGTTAATGAGCAAATGTGTTTAACCTTTATGTCAGCATGTAGTCTTAAGTTTTGTAATAATGCTATCAGATGCTTGAAGTCATCCGGCTTGAAGGGCATGCCCTTGACAATGAGGATATTTTTATGTCAAGAGACATAACAAGGGACATTCATCTATTGCAGGTTCTCTTTATTAACAAAAGTTTTGTTTTCAAAAAATTGCAAGAAATTCTTAAACTAAAAATGTTAACTCTAGCCATGGGTATTCTTGTCTAGATGTGCACTGGAATCGATGAGAATGCAGTGGGAGGGTGTGCGGAACTTGTTTTTGCTCCAATCGATGAGACTTTTCCTGATGATGCTCTATTGATACCATCCGGCTTTCGCATCATTCCCTTAGAATCAAAATCAGTTAAGTCCGTTTACTGCTAGTCATTCTAAAGTAAATGCAAAATTAGAAAAAAAAATTGAAATAACACATTTTAAAGGTGCGCCTTTTTTCATCTTTGAAAAGTTTTATGGGATGGAGGAAGTACTGTCTATTTTTTCCCTCCATTTTGGACAAGTTACTTATGCTATTTTCTGTGTTGGCCAGAATGACGTGCAGGACACACTCGCAGTTCAAAGAACACTTGATTTAACATCAAGTCTTGAAGTCGGGCTGGCGGGAAATCATTGTGGGTCCCAGTCCAGTTACGCGCGGTCGGTCTTGACCATTGCGTTCCAGTTCCCGTTTGAGATCAATCTGCAGAGTAACATCGCCATAACGGCTCGGCAGTATGTGCGCAGTGTAATTTCGTCTGTTCAGAGGGTTGCAATGGCAATATCCCCAACCCCAACTGGTCCTATCGGTGGCCCCAAGTTATCCCTCACCTCTCCGGAAGCTGTACCACTGGCTCAGTGGATCTGCCAGAGCTATAGGTTTCTCTACTGTTTCACTTACTAGAAAAAGTACATATACAGTGTTATTATGCCTGTTTATAGTGAAAATGCAAGTGTTATTATTCGTAGATATCCCTTCGAAACCATACTTTATATTGTTTGCATTACATTACTAGAAAGAAATTATAATGCAAGTAGAACATTTCGACTCCGTATTTCTTTTTGCATCGTAATAAAGCGTAAGAAACAACTTTCTTTGATATCTGTTTTTTGCTTCTCTAGCTTTTTCTGGGATCCAAACAGACCCCCAATGGTTTGATTTGCAACCCGGAAAATGCCAAGGGAAGAGAGCATATAGAGGAAAGTGTCTTAAGTTTGTTTTTATGTATTGCACAAACTCTGAATTTACTTATTTACCCTTCTTTCCACAGGAAAGGCAAACACAATATATATCAATTTTCTGTCACATTTTGTTTTCCTCTCAGAAATAAAATATTTGTTCTTGGCTTGCAGTTACCATATGGGAACAGAACTGTGTGGTGCTAGTTCTGCTGGCGGGGAATTGGTTTTGAAAAATCTCTGGAACCATCATGATGCCATTTTATGCTGCTCTATAAAGGTACGGCTCGTCCTCGGTGCATAATTCTAAGTAATATTTGTGATATGTTAAAAAAATACAAAATATTTATCAAATTCATTTTTTTGTAGATTTCCATGTTTAAAGGAAACATAAAAGCACGTTTTAACTTGATGACATTTTATGTTTTTCTGTAAAGGTAGGACTCATTCTTTTACCTTTTTTTGTTTTGCAGTCACATCCTGTCTTCATCTTTGCTAACAAGGCTGGACTTGACATGTTGGAGACGACTTTGGTTGGTTTACAAGATATTGCGCTGGATAAAATGTTTGACGAACGCGGGCGAAAGACATTGTTCTCCGAACTTTCAAAAATCATGCAGCAGGTAACATTATACAAATTCATTTTTTGGTTTTGTTTAGTATTCTTTTTCATGCGCTATCCAGTATATTCGTCCACTTTCTTTGCCCATAAAGTAATGGCGAAACAGTCATTTCCTTCCCTTCTTTTGTCTGTGTGCTGAAATGAAGGTTGACAAATACATTGAGACGTACACAGTATCTAACATTTCATACCCTATTTTTTAGGGGTATGCGTACTTGCCTGGTGGAATTTGTACGTCAGCAATGGGACGCCACGTGTCATACGAGCAGGCCATCGCATGGAAAGTCCTTTTGGCTGACGAGAACACTGTCCACTGTTTGGCGTTCACGTTTATGAACTGGTCGTTCGTCTAAGTGTCTTTGCTTCTTAAACCCTGTTTGGGGCCCCGGATCGTTGGAACAGGAATAGCGGCTTTGAATCGGAGAGGGAATTTTTGTAATGTGTTAACAATAAGATAAGTTATCCCAGAATTGGTTAGGCCTTGCGGTGTATTTATGGATTCTGGTCAAGGTTTTGTTATTCCTATTGTAAATCTAGCAGAAGTGTGGCTATGGCAATTGGTTTAGATTTAGAGTTCATTCCTTTGTGTTTTTGGATATTGAACACAAATCTAAAACATAAGCTATTCAATTTTATCCTTTTCATCTTCTAGATTCGGTTCTTGGATATGATTGTGTTTTTTTTCTTCAGGACATCTGTTGGTGTTGCGGTTAACTCACAACCGAGAGGATTTGGATTTCAATGAAATCTTTTCTTTATTGTTTTCTCCAGACAAGGATTATTGAAGGGTATTTTAGGAAAGTCAGAATATATTTTACACTCCCTTAAAAATGAGCTCCGGTCAAACCGGAAAAATGGTTTTAGGACGGAAGGAGTAATTAAGACTAAGCTGCTTACAAGTATAAAGAAAACATCGTCATTTGATTTTTATGTTAAAAATAGCACAGAGAAACTCTAATATCAAAGATTTTGAAAAGGAAGAAAAAAAAGAGTTTCTTCATTTAGTTCTTAAAATATTACTTATTTTTTAATTTACTTTTTCTGATCATTTTTCTTTGCTTTCACTTTTTTCTTTAACCCAACAAGAAAGTAGTGTTCAATTTTCTTTTACCTTTTTTCGAATTTCTTAGACCAAATAGTGAAAATGAGATCAGTGTCATGGGGCGTAGCTTAGTTGAGTTAGTTGGTTGAGCAATGGTGCCAAAAATGCAAATCCAAATTTAGTTCTTGGAAACTACTCCCTCCGTCCCAGAGTATTTGTCCAGTTTGACTTTTTCGAGACAAATTGGACAAATTTTGAAATTCAATTAAATAAAAACCATAAAGTATTTTAATATAAAAATGATTTTTTTAGATTTATCGGATTGAGAACTTTCAAAATTGTATTTCATTAGGCTAATATGTAATACAAATTGAGAGTAATTGGAATTTAAAGTTTGTCCAGTTTGACTCGAACAAGTTTGACTCGAACAATGTTGGACAATTATACTAAATATATATTCTCTCCACTCCTATAAACCTTTCCTATTTAAACTTTTTTTAGTCAAACAATGGCAATCTTTGAGCATAAATTAAACATAATCTAAATAAACAAATGACAAAAAATTGATATATCAAAACTATATCCTAAGATGAATCCTATTATATTGAATTTATATTATAATTAAATATTCTTTTCTCACAATTTAGGATCAAAGAGTGTCAATGAATGACTAAAAAAATCAAAACAGGAAAAGTTTTTAAGAACAGAGAGAGTATGACATGTACTAGCATCTGGGGCATGTTTCACCCTTTGCTTGATTGTCTGTGATTAAAACTTAATTTATCATCTTTGATGTGACTATTTGGCTAATTGGCTCTTCGAGATAGGCTCGTCTTTTTTTTTCTACCACAATATTTGGTTCAAAGAATTTGACAGGGAAATAAAAAAACCATTTTCTCTCGTTTTTCTTACCACAATGGGAGGAATTTGGTTTTCCTTTCTCTTAGTACATTTTGCCTTCTCTTTTTCTTTTCCTTCAACTTTTCTTTTCTTTTTCTCTCTAACCAAACAAGAAAAATATTCCTACTCATTTTCTTTTTCTTTTCCTTTCCTTCTCAAATTCCTTGAACCAAACATGGTGTAAATGAGGTTGGTGGGGTGGACTTTAAATAGATTCAATACAAGTCTGGTAGATGCAACAGTGCCCAAGTTAATCATTTCGGTGAATAGAACTTCTCAATTAGAGTATAATACTCGTATGCAATTTTGTACTCCCTATATAAAGAACAGGCCAGATTGACTTTATGTTGAAATCGGAAAAATTGCCAAAGACCCCATATTAGAGATGTCACAGATTTAATCCCCATATTAGTTTTAAAAAAATCAGACATAGGAACCGGAATAGCAAAAAGTACAGTATAGCATGGCATTATATGACAAACATTAAAGTTTATGAATGCGAGACCAGACCAACAGTTTTGTGGTGTACAATTCTGGTCGTTTGAGAACTGTGTCAAATGACCGGACATGTTACTTGTCTGATTCAGGTATCCAGGGGATCCCATGTCCCAAAAATATGAGTCAACGAGACCGGCAGTGTAGTGTAGTTCAAAAAGAAACTAAACATTGTACATTTACGATAACCTTTAGAAACCGTGTGGTCTTTGACGAAAAAAGAAACCGAGTTTGGTTATATAACATTTATTTGTATATACACGACTATTATTATGTACACCACTCTTACACAACACTCTAGTTTTGATATTTGAACTATAGAGACGACAAATTTGTATACACTTCCACGCAAAACTTGTCCACAATCAGACATAAGTTTGTGTAGTTCAAAAATTTTGGGTGGTGTAAATGGGGTGTGCATTTTTAGCAAAAAGTATATATTTTGCCTGGTTCCTATGTGTAATGCATTAGGCTGGCACACATCTGCATTGGGATGACAGAGACCAAAAGTTTAGAACGAAAGACGGAATAGATGCAAACCAGGTAAGGAAAGACATTGTTGTAGCAGTCTCAAACTCCGTGCAGTGATTTTGGGCACATACTCCGAGGTCATTTCCGATGAGCACAGTGATGCCTGCTGAAGCACAAGCTGCGGCGAACATTAGGGTAGAAGTGACCTGCAGAACAGAATGAACGTTCTCAAAAATTAGAAGTGGCGGTTAGTTTTTTAATAGAGAAATATAATAAACATGGATAATGTCAGCATGTCCAGAGTTCAAACTAGAGTACTATAAGAACCATTGCAATTATGGATTTGATAGAATGTCTTATTTCCACAAGAGCCCTTGACTTCACTAGAGTTCTAAAACACTTGAAAGCATGATAAAGCCAGGAATCCCTTCTTTGAACATTGTTGGTTAAGGGTGTGATTGGTAATTTGGCATGACACAAATGATGAGGGGTGGAAGGAGATGAAATAAGGGGTGATAAATGTTGTCATTCAATTGAAGAGGAAAACAGCGTAAGGTTAAATATTGGACAGACCGACAGACGAACACAGGGTTCTACCAAATTAACTCAATCCATAATCTAAATGGGTTCTCTCCTTTCGCTGTCTGTCCATCACTTGTTTTGACCATTGTACCCCCAAACCAATATTATAGAACTGCTTGTGCATTGACTGTTAGTATTCAAACGGCCCTCTTTTAATCACTCAGTCAAAAGAAAAACAGTAAGCACTTGTCTAAGCCAAATCTGGGTTCTTTTCAAGAAAATATCACATATTTGTCCCTATACTTTTCTCCCAAAAAAATATTGACAAGATAACAGTAAGCAAAAAATATATCTACTTCTCTTTTCAGACACTCACCAAGTGTGCATAAATCCAATTAATGAATAAAGCATACATCCAGTTAGATGCTCAAAAAATTCCCCGCCTTCCCTCCCATATATCAAGTGATATATCTTACCGTCAAAACATGCTCACAGCTCACCTCAAAATGTACTCACAGCTCACCTGTCGTCACTTTCAAATGAAGAGGAGCATGATGTCCTCTAACATTATCTATGTTTCCTTTTTGTCAAGGTGAGAGATCTTTGTTGTCTACTAGTCTACTAGTTTTATGTTTGCTTCTGTGTCTGGTTTATTAATCTGAATGTGGATTTAAGATTTTTGGGATGATCATTAATAAGTAATAACATTGTAGCTTTTATACAACAAAATTTGATGCTCAAATTTTCAATGAAAAATACTTTCAAATACACCAAATAACTTCTTAAAAAATTGAACCATCAAAATTTCCCACAAATAATTAGGAAAAAATTAACAAGATATCCTACTTAGAATTGCTCTCAGTGGGGATCAACTAATCCCTATAAAAGAGTGCCTCGAGGATCAGGCTCAGCCTACAAGCTAAACAATATTATACTCCATCCGCCCCGTAACACTTTGACTAATGTTGAAGCGTGAAACGTTGGTGGTTGGAATTTGTTGGTAAAAAATAGATCGAACCACGTATCCCTTTTCTAGAAAAAATGAGAGAAGTGTAAACCTTATTTTAGAACAGAAGGAAAAGGAAAGTCTAAACTTCATCGTGGGACAAAGAAGTATTGTGGAAACCCTATCTTGTCATTTCATTTTTGACCCATCTATCATGACTTCCATCACATTTAAAAATGTGGATTCATGAGTGTTCATGTATCTTATCAATGAAAACAAAAACAGCCAATTATTAGCATTTACTGCCCAGAATTGCATTTACTTTCAGGTTCTAAACAACAAACTACACTCATGCAAATATGCAATCACAACATGGAAATCTTATACGGTACATAACTAGAAGAGTTTCCTTCAAGTGACACACCTGTACACAGTACACCCCTATTTCAGGAACAAGCTACTCTATAGTAAAGCTTCTGTTAGGTTGCCCATGTAATTAGTCATATCTCATATGTCGAGTTACCAGTGCCCCAAAGGTTAACATCTTCCCATAATACTCCCTAGTCCCTTCGTCCCGTCTGATTCTTCCATCTACTATTCACACTGTCAAACTATTTCCTCTTTCTTTACATATTTTCATTTATCATTTAATAAAACAAGTCATATCATATCTTGTTTGTAGTTTTGATACCATTTTTAAATACATAAATTTTACTGAATACTTTTTATTTTACGCCAACATTTAAATACAATGATTTGGAAAAACATTAGTCAAACACCGTACGTCATACTATAAAGAAATCAACGGGGTAAAGAGAGTAGATGACTACAAACTATCGCCAACCATCTGTATAGGCATTGTCTGAACTCTCAACAAGAGATTCAGTGCACCCTGTATCATATCATTAATCACAGTCTATCTCATATCAAAACCAGTTAAGGCTATGTTTGATAAGTTAATTAGTAATCTGAATTTTATAGCTTATAGCTTATGGCATGGTGCTAATAGCTTATGGCATGGTGCTAATAAGCGAGCAGTCTGCTGGTCTTATTTAGTTTTTTGGAAAATCTTAGCTGATAAGCTACTCCATATTTTAGAAATATAATACTCCCTCTATCCCAAATTAATACTCAAAGTTTGACTTTGCACGGAATTTAAGAAAAGTGAAATTGAGTGGTTGAAAGTGATGCAATGGAGAGAGAAATCATGTGAGCCTCAAAAAGCTTTCCAAAAAAGAAAGTAGAAGATTAATTTGGGACATCCCAAAGAAGAAATAAAGAAGATTAATTTGGGACAAAGGGAGTACTGAATAAAGGGATATGTTTTAAGTGATTTTAAAATAAAAATAAGGAAAAATAGAACTATAAATGATAAGTTCATCAGCTTATGTATGAAACTACTCCACAAAGCTTATTAAACAAGCTAAAGCTTATAAGATAAGTTCATTAACCAAACAAAGGAAAATTCCGTTGAATGATTAATGAATATTCTGTTGTTTCAAAAAAAACAAAGTAAAATTAAAAAGAATGATGTATAAAGGTAACAATATCTTAAAAGTTATAGCTCAAGGCATGAAAAATATACACTTATACTCTGTTTAGTTCGGGACAATAGGAAGCAAAAGAAAATGCTGTGAAAAATGAAATGAAAGTCAAAGAAACCAAAAATCCCAACTTCTTTTGGTTAGTAAGAAAATTATGAGGAATTTACTTTCCAATAGTTCCTTTGTTTGATAACTTTGATTGTTATAGAGAAAACGAAGTAAGGTATGGTTGTGAGGAAGGGGTGAGAGAGAAGGAGGGAGGTGCAGGTGGGAGGGGACAAGGCATGAGCAGGTGAGAAGAGTCTCTTGTTTTCTCCCCTTTTCTCACAAAATAGAAGGAAAATCATTTTGCCATGTTGCCCATGTATACTTTACATTTTCTCCACCTTTTCTTTTCCTCTTCACTTTCATTTCTTTCCCTTTCTAGCCAAGCACCAAAATTTCTTTTTCTTACCATTTTCATTTCTTTCCCTTTCTACACACTTATACCTCAAGGCATTCCAAACATAGACTACGTGGCAGGATAATGGATTTGCTAGCAAGTAATGCCAACATGGTAAAAGTATTAAGCAATATGGATTGGCAACTTACCCCATCACCAATTGAAAAAAAGCTAACAATGCGCTGATTTTGTAAACTGCGCCCCACAAGAAGAGCATAAATATCAAGAATTCCTAGTGAAAAGCTCCACAAGATTTGTAGCCCAGCAGCAGCAACAAAGTAACTGGTATAATTGATTAATATAGATATCAGCTAATAAAGGAATCAAGTTGATAACTTTAATGCTAACTTTATCATAATGTATTAAACATGGTTAATTTTTATGCAAAGTCTCATCTAAAATTAAAATTCACATTCTCAGTTCAGCAGTAAATGTTCAAACTCAAAGTACCAATTGAGTTATTTTACTCCTAGGACTCAGCTGAATCTTCTTTAGTTCTTTTTACTGTATAATCATGAGTGAAGTTGAAATTGTAAGTACCAATTGTGCTACTTTACTCCTATAGCTCAGCTCAACCGTATTTTTTGCAGTAAAACATAGATATCACTCAAGTATCATATCAAATTGGGCTTATGCGGAATTGAATCAAGCATAATAGATCTATACAAGCGCATTCAGGGTTCTACGAAGCACTAAGCGAGTCCTGGCACCTGGAGTAAGGCGCCGATTTAAAGCAGTGGACGTATTGATGGATCAAATAGGCAAACGAAATGAAGGGAGTTACCAGAAAGCAGTGACGGAAGAGAAATCGCTGGTGGACGCCATGACGGAGAGAGCAATAGAGGCGAAGACGAATTGAGCGAAACGCAGGAAGAGGCTGCTGATCGTGCCAGGCATGCCCTGGATGTCCTTCATCCTAACTCTAGGGACGTTCGCGGCCTCCGTCTGAAGCGGCGGAGTTTCGACCGGATGCACCGACGCGCGGCTCACACTCATCCTCGCTTGCCGCTTAACACCCAACCACCGCTGGCAAAATACCCCCAAATCGTCTCACTGACAGTTTCTCTCCCGGATCTCCGAGACTCGACGGACGATCGGGGCACCTCCCGGATCGGATTTTTCGAAACGCCGGGATCCTGAACTCTTGCTGCTCAACGTCGTCGTCGTGGTTTCCAACCGGAAGGTGCAGGGGGAGAAGATGTGCAGACTGCAAAGAGCTTTGGATGGCCCTGGCGCTGTTAAACTCGAACAAATTTGACCCGATTAAGGGGGCTATTTGGTCAGCCGAAAAGGGCCGCCAACCTGAATCCCAAAGGGGGCAAAAACAAGGATAAGAGGAAATTTTTTGATTGTTCCATAAAACATTTTAATTTGGAGTAAATAAATAGCATTGTCTTTACTATTCTTAAATTTAAATTTAATTGAATAATTGAGTACATCTCAATAACCTTCTATATCTTATCTATTTTGATATTTCTGGAATCATGCTCTATACAATTGATATTGTTTTACTGTTGTCAAACTTTCACAAGTTCTCATTTCAAATATCAAAACAGGAAAATTTTTACGGGACGGAGGTAGTAACTAGTAAGGTAATGTTATATTCAATTTATTTTTATTACTTACTTCCTCCGTCTCACAAAACATTTCTTGTTTTGAATTTTAAAAGAGATTTAATAGTAGTGAAAAAAGTTATGCGATAGGTAGGTTAAGAATTACTCCATCCGTCCCGCAAAAAACTTCTCATTTTGACTTTTTAAGAATTTAAAGGGAGAGTACTTTGGTGTTGAATTTCCAAAAATCCCTTTTGATGTGATGGATAAAGTATGATGTAATGTGTAGATTAATAGAGAAAAAAGTGTGATGTGATAGGTAGATTAAGAATTAATATAGGTAAAAGTGACTTTTTAATAGAAAAGGAGACAGTTTTTTGGGATAGATGAAAAAGGAAAGGAAAATGGTTCTGTGGGACGGATGGAGTACGTAGTAGGGTAAAAGTGACTTTTTAATAGAAATGAGAGAAGTTTTTTTGGGATGGATGAAAAAAAGAAAGGATAAAGATTTTGTAGGACGGAGGGAGTATTACTTTTTTATTGGAATCCGATCAGAAATAACTTTAAATATAACTATATTCAGTTCAGATTAGATCATAACTTGTACCATTCAGATTATGTGAAGAGCCCACGGTCTAAATTATGATATAGCTTTAAATATAACTCTATTCAGTTCGGATCAGATCATAACTTATTCCAACTGAATGATTCTGATCTGATTGGAATAAATTCTAATCTAATCTCATCTCGTTTGATCTGTATATAGTTATATTTAAAACTATTTCTGACCTGATCTCGTCTAAACTGAACTCATTCTAATAAGAAAAAGTAATAAGTAATAATATAAGAATAAGTTGAAGAAAACATGACATAAAATGTTAAACTAGTCAATTAATTATCAGGAAATTATTTTGGTGTACCCTCGATTTTGGGGTAAAAACTCTCATGTCCAGATCATCTGAAATATACTCCGAGGAACCCTCATTTTTGGTAAGAACTCTCTCGTATACACTATCCGAAGTATATTCTAGAGTCCTTAAAATTCGTAATATTATACTCCGAGGGTACATTCCATCGATTTATGCATTAGAATTGAAAGTTTTTACTTTAACAAATTAAAGAGTTTTATTAAAATTCAATAACATAATGATTACGTGATACGGTATCGTATCGGGATAAGGAAGGATTTCGAGCACCTTCGAGCTCCAAGAAAGAGAGAGAGAGAATGGGGTTTAGGAGAAAGTATTTTCTGTATTCATTGATTAATAATACTATGGTGATGGATACATTTATAGGCTTCGACTCTAGAAAATCTCAATAATAAATGGTATCTAAATAGATTAAGAATCCTAATTATAAAAGGTAACTAAATAAACTAGAAAACTAAGTAATCACCTAACAAATATATTATTCCCTAATAATAGTTAACTAAATATAAATAATTCCTTACCATAATAATAATAATAATAATAATCTCGTAACACTCTCCCCGCCTCGAAAACCAACTTGTTCTCAAGTTGGAAATCTGGAAAAAACGATGAATCATGTGTTCTCAAGTTGGAAATCTGGAAAAAACTCTATAGGAATCAGGCTCGGCATAATTGGGAGACCACAAACTAAATCATGTATTGAACAAGAGGCCTTTACAGCGAACACATATACCTCGGAATCATATTTTGGTTGACATTCAATTGGACGGAATGCTTGAACTTTCTTAATAATTTCATCCATGGAATCTTCAACTGCACACACGCCTTCATAAAATTCAATTTGTCTCTGTAGAACTTTCTCGAGTAAACCAAGAATTTTTTCCAATAGAGAATCCATTGCCAAAAGAAACACCACCACACAAAAATATCACTAAAAAATAGGAATAATACCTCAAATCTTGTATGAAGGACTTTTACCAATATATGGGTCTTTTTTTGGGCAATCAACTTGGGATAGTAGAAAGCTTCTTAGGATTTTTTTGTGAGTTCATCAATGAAAGCACCAATTGATACGGTATTGTATCAGGATAGGGAAGGATTTCGAGCACCTTCGAGCTCCAAGAACAAAAGAGCCGAGAAAGAGAGAGAGAAAATGAGGTTTAGGAGAAAGTATTTTCTTTATTCATTAATTAATAATACTATGGTGATGGATACATTTATAGGCTCCAACTCTAGAGAATCTCAATAATAAATGGTAACTAAATAAATTAAGAATTCTAATTATAAAAGATAACTAAATAAACTAGGAAACTAAGTAATCACATAACAAATATATTATTCCCTAATAATAGTTAACTAAATATAAATAATTCCTTACCATAATAATAATAATAATAATAATAATAATAATAATAATAATAATAATCCCGTAACATTATGAAGGTAAATTTTAGTATTTATCAAAATAACGTAACTTTCAATTTTAACGGTCAAATAGATATAATGTACCCTTCAGAGTACATTACCACAAATTTTAAGGATTCTTGAAGTATATTTCAGATTATGTGGAACCTAAGAGTTCTTATAAAAAATCGAGGGCATTCCCAAGTATATTTCAAATAATGTGGAACTTGAAAGTTATTTATAGAAAATCGAGAGTGCCCCACAGTAATTTTTTGATTAGTTATACTCTTAAATGTTTTATTTTTCAATATTTTTTGAAGGAATTTTTCAATACTTTTAGTTCTTGTTTTTTTACGACTCTATCTTACTTAAATTATTTTAAAATTATAGCTTGTCAAAAACATTTACTAAACAATATTTTACGGGGTAATTGATTAAGGATCTAAAAATACCTTCTCTGTCCTAAAAGATTACCACAGTGGCACCTTTTGACTAAAAATTAAATATAATTTAAAATATTTAATATTATAAAAATTTGATATTTCAAAATTATATTTTAAAATAAACCTAATTTTATTAAATTCACATTATAACTAAATATAATTTTTAAATAATTCACAGTGAAGGGATGTATAGAATTTGTGAACTGAACTGTATGTGTTTCATTGATACAACTGGAAATATATATACATGTACAAGCCCAAGAGACATGGCCCAATATACAAATAATACATAACCTATACAACATACGCTAACACTCCCCCTCAAGTTGGAGCATGAAGATCAAAAATGCCCAACTCGGACAAAAGAGAACGAAACAGAGGACCGGGGAGAGCTTTTGTGAAAATGTCAGCGATCTGCAACCTCGTAGGAACATAAGCTGTGATAATATGAGCGCGCTAGAGACATTCACGGACAATATGACAATCAATATCAATATGTTTGGAGCGCTCATGGAAGACCGGATTAGCTGCGATGAATAACGCCGATTTGTTATCACAGTACAGACGCGGAGTGGCTACACACGGGACACTGAGTGCTGCAAGAAGGCCGCGGAGCCACCGGATTTCCAAACAGGCATTGGCCATGGCGCGGTACTCGGCCTCTGCTGATGATCGGGAGACCGTAGTTTGCTTCTTCGTGCGCCAAGAAATAAGAGAACCGCCGAGGAGAATGAAGTAACCTATGATAGACCGGCGTGTGATGGGGCAACTCGCCCAGTCACAGTCGGAGAAGGCTGTTAAAGTCAGATCACTATCACGACGGAGTAAAATACCTTGGCCTGGATGACCCTTAAGATAGCGAAGAACACGGAGGGCAGCGTTCCAATGATCCAACCGCGGGGCCTACATAAACTGAGACAAAGTATGAACAACATAACAGATGTCGGGTCGAGTAATGGGCAGGTACAAAAGACGCCCAACAAGACGACGGTATTTAGCAGGATCTCGAAGTTCTGCACTCGAGGACCTGGCGAGATTATGAGTGGGCGGCAATGGAGTATCCGCAGGTTTGCATCCAGATAAGTTATGTTCCTGAAGAATATCCAAAGTGTACTTTCTCTGATTAAGAACCATACCAATCGGGGACCGAGCACACTCAATCCCTAAAAAATAAGAAACGGGGCCGAGATCCTTGAGACGAAAACACTCGTCCAAATATTGCTTGAAAGAGGAGCACAGAGAGGAATTATTACCGGCAACCAAAATATCATCGACATATACCAGAACCACAAGCATATCAGGTCCACGACTAAGAACAAAGAGGGTGTGATCGGCGTGAGCCTGGCGGAACCCATAGTTACGGAGTGCTAGGCGAAGCTTAGCAAACCAATTCCGGGGAGACTGTCGTAATCCATACAAAGACTTACGTAACCTGCAAACTTTATTAGGAAACACGTGAGAGTAACCAGGAGGGAGCTTCATGTAAATTTCATCCTTAAGATCTCCATGTAAAAAGGCATTATTAACATCCAACTGGTCAACATGCCAGCCGCGAGCAACTGCAACAGATAATAGAACTCGAACGGTGGCTAACATCGCTACGGGAGCAAAAGTATCAGTACAATCAATACCCAACTCCTGATGATATCCCAAGACTACCAACCGTGCTTTGTCCCGCTCCTTGGTACCATCAGATCTGTATTTAGTGCAAAAAACCCATTGGCACCCGAGTGCCCGCCGATTAGGAGGAAGATCAGTGATTTCCCACGTGTGGTTCCGTTCCAAGGCTGTAAATTCCTGTGCCATTGCCTCTCTCCAAGAGGCGAATTTGACAGCCTCGCGATAAGACTTAGGAGCCGAGGAAGCATCAATTGCACCGAGAAAACCCTTGTACCTGTCATGCAACATATCATAATTAACATAGTTAGTGATAAGGAACCGAGTACTTGATGGGACCGAACTGGGTGAGGACAAAATCGGAGGATTCACTGTGGCGGAATTAAGGACATTGTCGTGAAGGCGGGGAGGGAGAAGACGGGTATGAGGTAGTAGG